CAAAAATATAATTTAAAAATTGCTACCAAGTTGCCCTCTTAGCGCAGTAGGCAGCGCGTCAGTCTCATAATCTAAAAATTGCTACCGGTAGTAGTCATATTAAAAAGGCAAAATGAAATAGGCAGAATTAATTTTAATAATGTGCTTTGTGTAACCCACTATATAAAAAATACTATAATGTTATATAATCATATAAAATTACTAATGAGATATTAGAAGCAACTCAGGATATGAGCAATACAATACAGTGCAATACAATATCATTTGTAGTCCTTACAAACAATATAAACTTGTGGTTCATGGCAAAATATTTTATACTAGTTCAGTTTTACCTTTTTAATTGAAATTAATTAAAATAAAATAAATTAGTTCCTGGGTTGTGCTAGCCACATTTCAAATGCTCAACAGCCATTTGTGGTGTGTGGCTATCATATTGAACAGCAGAACTTATTTTATTCTCTGTTGGCATGCTCTTCTCTTGAGCTTTTCCTCACCTCTTTCCCCAAGGGCCTTCTTTTACTTCTGTAACTTGTTTCCTGAGCCCATGCAGCCCAGCTGGCTCACTTCTTTCTTCCTCTATGACTTACTTTCTTTCTTTCTTTCTTTCTTTCTTTCTTTCTTTCTTTCTTTCTTTCTTTCTTTCTTTCTTTTTTTTTTTTTTTTTAAAAATATATTCTATTGCCAAAACCGGTGTGGCTCAGTGGTAGAGTGTCGGCCTGCAGACTGAAGGGTCCCAGGTTTGACTCTGGTCAAGGGCATGTACATTGGTTGCAGGCACATCCCCAGTGGGGGGTGTGCAGGAGGCAGCTGGTCGATGTTTCTCTCTCATCGACGTTTCTAGCTCTCTATCTCCTTCCCTTCCTCTCTGTAAAAAATCAATAAAATATATTTTTAAAAAAGTATATATATTTTATTGATTTTCCACAGAGAGGAAGGAAGAGGAATAGAGAGCTAGAAACGTCAATAAGAGAGAAACATCGACCAGCTGCCTCTTGCACACCCCCTAACCGGGGATGTGCCTGCAATCAAGGTACATGTCCTTGACCGGAATTGAACCTGGGACCTTTTAGTCCGCAGGCCAATGCTCTATCCACTGAGGCAAACCAGTTTTGATCCTCTATGACTTTCTAAATAAACTTTCTCATAATTTGAAAAAAAAAAGTTAGTATTCTGTTTCCAAAAGCTCAGGGATTCCAAAAGCTCAGGGATTCCCAGATATTCCATCAGCACCCCTAACTTCTCTCAACCCCCATCTCATCTTCCCTGCCTAGCCCAGGACTGCCATAGTACAGCTGTGCTAGTTATACACTGCAAAATTCGGGGGTGCCATTCACATTGTCCATATGGTAGATTTGTTTATTTACTATGGCAGTTTCTGGGAAGATGGAAGTAAATTTTTTAAAGGAAGAGATACTTTTTCCTAATTCATGCAAATGTGTTTTTTTGGGGGGTGAGATAGAGTGGGGTGCGGGGTGACTGGAGCCCTTCTGTTCCTTCTCAGCATTCCAACAGTTGGGCCCAGGCATTGTTCTCTTGTACACTCAGCACTGACCCAGTGCCCACATCCTGTGGTTGAAAGTAGGGAAGCAACTTCAGTCAGCCTGTCCCCTTCTCCCCCAAATAGTGTCACAAAGCTTCATGGTAGTCACTCTTCATGGTAGTTTACCTTGGAGTCATATGTCTTTTTTTGTTTTCTTTTTAAAGCTATTATTTATTTTTTATTTAAAAAAACATTTTAAAATATGTTTTTATTGATTTTTAAAGAGAGAGGAAGGGAGAAGGACAGAGAAATATCGATGAGAGAGAAAAGGAGCCATATGTCTTACTCATAATCGTATCTCTAGTTCCTGACACAAATAGGTGCTTAACTCATTTATCGATTTGAATTTGTATCTCAGTGTCCACTCAGGCCCCTGTATTGTGCCCTCAGTTTCCTTAGTGAAACGTGACCTGGGGCTGATTTATCCAGATGCCGACATGGCTGTCTTTCACCTCATCACAGCTCACCCTTTGTCTTAAATAAAAAATAATTGCCATTATTATTATTATTACTAACAGAAACTACCATTTATTGATCACTTTGTGTCAAGCATTATGCCTAGCCGTTTATGTCTTATTTCATTTAATCTTTCCAGGCATCTCAAGGAGGTAGGTACCATTATCCCCATTTTATAAGGAGGAAACGGAGGCACTGGGAAATGAAGTAATTTACCCGAGGTCACACAGCTATTACGTGTCAAAGCTAAAATTTAAAACCAGTTCTGTCTGACTTCAAAGCCCTTCTGTTCTTTAACTAGCAGGACGAGGCTTCTCTTTTGGGATCTGGAACCTGACTGACAAGTGACCACTCTGGAGGACTTACTGTTTTTTTCCCAGACTCCTTCCCCTGGGGCATGTCTTCCTCCCAGTCCGCGTGGTTTGGGTGGCGTATATACGCCAACCCCAGGCGTGGCCCTTTAACTCAGCTTTGGCCAATCTGAGAACGGTGTCCACCTGACCGAGTGGTTGGTTCTGAGGTTAGCCCATGGCGGAGGGTCACTCCAACCAGGCTCTTTTTCTGCTCCAGTTTAGGAAAGGAGGCATTCTTTTCCTCTGGGAATTTTTTGCTGCTAGAGTGAGGGACCCTGGAGCTCCTAGTGGCCCTCTTTCCCTTCTACACGGAGGAAGCCGTTGGACGTAGGGGAGGATGACTGAGGCCGGCACGCAGTGGGGAGCGGCAGGGAGTGGTGGTGGGAGCACAGGCAGCACCATGTGAACCCTAGGATTCAGGTGTGGCCACAAGCATTCCAGGACTTCTCTGCCATGCGAGCCAGCCATTTCCTTTCGTTGTCTGCTTCAACCTAGTTACTTGCAGTTGAAGGAGCCTGACGGATATGCATACTTTTCAGAAGATGACTTTTTCTGTCGTGGATTCCACATGGATGTTCTCTATCTGCTTTTGGGTGAGCTCACTCCTCCTTGGGCCTTGGTGCCTGCTGTTGCCTGCAGCGTGCCCGGAGGCCTGGGATCCCCGTGAACTGTTCCTGATGGACTTCCCCTCTGTTAGGCCTGTGAATCCTGCCCTAGTGAGAGGAGATACCACACCTAACCCTTCCCCACACGCCCTCCACCCTTCCCACCGAGGCACAGCCCACACACAAGGTGAAGAACTGTGCCATGAGCATGAGAGAAATCTGTTCTTCACAGACATTGGAAAAATTACTCATCAGCCTCCTTTTGAATGCTGATCAAAAACTGTTGAACGCCTACCTCATCTGGCCTCTGACACCAGCTGGGATCTCAGCCAGCGTTGGCCACGGTTTTGCCTCTTTTCCTTGGCTCCCAACCTTTCTGATCAGCTGTTTTCTTATGTGCTCTCCACTCCCCTATGATTCTGAACTTCCATCCTTCTACTGGCTTCCTCCCAAATCTTTCCAGGGGCCCTCTGAGGGCATTGTTCCATTGTGAATCAACTCTCCCACACCCCCAGCCTCCGTACAGAATGAGAACACTCTTTCTCTGCAGCTCTCTCTGCTGTGGCCTTCCTCTGGCTTCGCTGTGCCGCCTGCAGGTCATGAAAAGCCCCTTTTCCTAATTTAGAGGGCAAGCGATTCATGCAAATAACCTCCTGGTGTCCCCCTTTGCCACCAACCTCTTGGGCATTGTCCCTGGAGACTCATCTGGTTCCTAGTCTTCTCTCCCAACTCTGCCATCTCTGCACCCATAACTTTATATGTCTAAGACCAACTTTATATGTCTAAGATGAGTGGTGCAGAAGGGAGTCATTCATTGTGGTACGAGTAGTGGGAAAATAAGGGAGACTTCACGAAAGAGATTACTTGTGATCTGGACCTTAAACAATGAATAGGATTTCAACAGGTGATCTTTTAGGCAGAGAGAACAACTCAAGCCAAAGCATGGAGATATGAACATGTCCGTGTATTTACTTGCTTGAGCACTTGGAAATAGGTGGTAGGAAGGGAAGAGGAATATGTCATGATTATATTTACTTAAAATTAAGGCATGATCCTAAGGAGGGTTCAATGTGGAGAATGCAAAGGAAGAAACAGACTTTACTACAAAAGGGAGAAGAAGTACTTTGGAAACTTTTCAGAGGTGGGATGATATTGTCAATGACAAGATCAGAAGTTTGCCGGGTTGATTGTAAAGGGAGAAGGGGAGTAATTAAACCAGTTTAAGAAAGTTCATAATATGACTACAGAGGCAGAGAGGAACGGTAGTGGAAGAAGGGGTGTGAGGGTTTTCAGAGCAGACTGGTGGTGAGGGGGCAAGGAGCAGAGTTGAGAAACCTGAGTAGACGCCTGCTGCTTAGGAGATAGGCGAGATTGAGGCCCTGCCTGGTGATGGGAGATTTGAAGTTGCAGGATGCTGGGAGAAAACAGCTGCATAGTAGATATGAATCAAATTAGTTGGTCTTTTAATTACCTTATGCATAAAGATAGGAAACTTTATTTCATGACGGTAAAAGGGACTTAAATTATGTAAGCTTAAGATGTTTCTCAAACTGATTTATAGAAGACTACAACTACTGGAGATATAAATAAGGTTCAAGGGAAATAGAATGAGTTCTATGATCAAATAAGGTTGGGAAACGCTTCATGCTGTATGATTCATAGAGTCTATTCATGTATTAAAGGCTCAGAAATGCACACAAGAAACCAGTTTGACATTGTTTAATCCAGCTTTACCTGAATATATTTATTCATTCATTCAGCAAGCACGTGGTAAGCACATATTGTGATAGTATGTTTTTGGCACTGTGCTGGCCACTGGTCCCACAGAAGAGAGTAAAATCAGCCAATGTCATAGCCTTTAGGGGATTAGGCAAACTATGTCAATTAATTGCCCTAGTCTGGTATAATCTGACAGGTTTTGAGAAACACAATTTGGGAAACCTTGAGTTAAGGTGTTTGTGCTCTGGAACAGGATGGAGTGACTGACTGCCTGTCTCTCTGCCCCCATGTCTCCATGGTACACCAGTGCCCCCACCTATTTGAGGAATGTTTCCTGCACCTCCTGCCTTCGGCATAGACATAGCTGATGACAAGGTAACTTTTAGGCCTCAGAAGTTGGTTACTTGACCCAAAGTCACCGAGCTGGTGAGGGGCAGAACCAGAGCCAGAACCTCAGCTCATTTGGTTCTAGGTCTACGCTCATTCTATTTTTTTGGTGAGAAGGGACAATTTGGAATACCCTTACCAGAGTATAGAGCAAATCACAGGCATTATCTTACCTCTAAAATTTTCAGTATGTAGCTCCAAAAGAAGAACTCTTAGAAACAAAAATAAATACATCACAATACCAGTAGGTGTTATGCTAGGTTACAAAAATTGGGTTTTAGTCTAGGTGCAAGGAAACCATTGGAGGACTTTGGACATGAACTGACTTATGCTTTTATAAGTTTGTGTTGATTGATGAAATGGAGAGAGGATTATAAGAAGATGAGGAAAGAAATAGTGAGCCCTCTTAGGAGGCTATTGCAATAGTCCTGACTAGGGATGATGGTGGCTATGTCAATTAACTGCCCCAGTAATGACAAGTAACAAACATCCCCAGAAACTCAGTGGTGTATAGACATAAGGATTTGTTTTTGTTCATCAGTTAATGGGATGTCTGGGTAGTTCTGCTGATCTGAACCAGGCTCAGCTGATTGTGACTGCTCTCTAATCAAATGTAGGTCAGGTAGGCTGGGGTTTCTGATGTATTTGGGGGGCCAGATGGCTGTTGACTGTCTGGAATGACTTTAGCTAAGATGGCTAGGACCACTCTGCTCGCCTCTGTGTTTATGTTACATCTCTAATAGGCTAGCCGGGTCATATACTCATGGTAATCACAAAAAAGTAAGAAAAAAAGTACAAACAAGCAGGCAGATTTTTTTTTAAAAATCAATCTTTATTGTTCATATTATTACAAAGGTTCCTCATTTCTTCCCCCCTCCACCAGGTTCCCACCCCATCCTCCGACCCCTCCCCATCCCCCATTGTCCTCATCCATAGGTGCATTTTATGTTCAGTCTCTTCTTCCCTCCCTTTCCCCGATAGTAAATCCCTTTTCAGATAGTAAATCAGTTACTTAGCATTTTCTCAAATCAACAATACCTCCACATGCCCAATGATACACTTCACACAAAAGACATTTCCCAATAGGTCCACCAGCCTCATCCAGGCCCTACCCAAGGCACTCACAGATCAACACCCCAGCCCTATACTAACTCAACACATCCAGATCTAAGCCTTCATCACTTGATTCAGCAGACCCTCAAGTTCCCGCGAAAGTTTCCAGCCATGTCTGAGAGGCAGCCGTGGGGCAGGGGCAGGCGAGGAGCGAGCTGTTCCGGGCCTGGCTGAACAGGGCCTGGCCTCTGTTGCTCTGGTTCGTTCCACAACCAGCTGCTCCGGGTCTGGTCACTGCCGCTCCCGACCTAGTTGCTTTGGACTTGGCTGCTGCTGCTCCGGGCCTGGCCGCTCCCAGCCTGGCAGCCGCTGCTCCGGGCCTGGCCGCACCCGACCCGCCTGCTCCCCCGGGCCTGGCCGCTCCCAGCCTGGCAGCCGCTGCTCCGGGCCTGGCCGCACCCGACCCGCCTGCTCCCCCGGACCTGGCCGCTCCCAGCCTGGCAGCCGCTGCTCCGGGCCTGGCCGCACCCGACCCACCAAGCAGGCAGATTTTTAAGCCTTAACTTGTGTTAAGTTTGCTGCTATCCCATTGGACCAAGAAAGTGACATGGTTTACCCACAGTTAGTGTGGAAGGGCATTGCTCAAGGACAGGAATAAAGCGATGTGAAAAGATACAGGGCCAGTAGTACAATCAATCTATTGTGTAATGGGAGAAGAGTGAAGGGTTATAATATTTTGGAGGTACAGTCCAAAGAATGTGCTGATGGATTAGATTTGAAGTATGAAAGAGAGGAATAAATCAAAGGTAACTCTTAAAATGTTGGCTGATGCCGAAACCGGTTTGACTCAATGCATAGAGCGTCAACTTGGGGACTGAAAGGTCCCAGGTTCGATTCCGGTGAAGGGCATGTACCTTGGTTGCGGGCATATCCCCAGTAGGGGGTGTGCAAGAGGCAGCTGATCGATGACTCTCTCTCATCGATGTTTCTAACTATCTCTCTCCCTTCCTCTCTGTAAAAATCAATAAAATATATTTAATAAAAATGTTGGTTGAGCAGTGGAGAGGTGGTCAGGCCATTTGCTCAGATGGTAAAGAGTAGGTAAAGAACCAGTTTTAGGGGAGTATCTAGAGTTGTGTTTCAGCCATGTTATGTTTGAGATACCTGTTGAGATTTAAATAAAGTTGCTTGGTTTACAATTGGATATATAAATCTGAAGTTCTTGGGGACAGGGCTAAAAATGTAGATTTCAGATGGTATTTCATACCATGGAATTGGACGAGGTCATTCCTGAGAAGAATATATAAATGAAGAAGCAAAGCAAGCCCAGGATAGAGCCTTGGCACACACCCATGTTTATAAGTAAAGCAGAAAAAAATAGAAGCCAATACATGGGACTGAGAACATAAGACAGCCTCTGAGATCAGAGAAAAATCCATGAAACTTGGTGTCACAGAGAACTTAGAAAAGTTACGCATTTCAAAGAGAGGGATGGTCAGTTGTGTTAAGTCAGATAAGAACTGAGGTAAAAAAAGAAAAAGAAAAAAAAAAGAACTGAGGTCAAGTAAAATAACAGAGAAAGAATCAATGGGTTTGGTAAGAAGGAGGTCCTTGTGACTTCGACAATACGGTTATAGTGGAATGCTGGAGATAGAACTCCAAGGTTTGGAGGAAAGCACATGATGAGAAGTAGGGACAGCAATCCCAATTCCATTTTTTAAGAGCTGGTGCTGCAAAGGGAAACAGAAGTGACTTGGTATTTGGAGGTGAATGTGGGTCAGGGGAATGGTTTATGACGGGGCACGTAAGTGATGCTACTCTGCCAAAGGGGATGACCCAATAGAAGGATCAGGGGCATCAAAGAGGGAGAAACAGCAGGCCAGCCATGTTTGAGATGGCAAGAGACGATGGGATAGAGAATTTAAAAATAAACCAGTCTGTATATTACTTACTTCAGAGAAATTTGCATTCTATATTTTATTTCTAATTTTGTAATGAAAGGATATATCCACCATTTGGACAATTTCAGCCACCAGCCAGGACTGGGACATATCTGAGTTTTGTTGTCACACTGGGCAGGTTGAGTGCCTCTGTGTTAGGCTTATTACTCAGCTACTATTGTGGAGAAGGTACCGTTTTGGAATCATTCTGCTCTGTAGGTGGTGCTCAGTGTGTCTTTTGATGATGGTGAAACTGGTAAATTCAGTTTCTTAGATTTTTGATATGGATATCAAGTTGGGCAGGTTCTGAGCAGAGCTAAGAAGGGAATATGAATTAAGGTGCCACTTCCTTGTTCAGGTTTTATACCAGTATGACTTGATGTTTTGATAAATATAAAGCACCAATTTCACCCAGCAATGCAGGTAATACCACTTTTTTGCATAGACTAGCAGACTTTAGGATGGTTGGCTAATGTAGTCCAGTAGATCATAGACAAGATTCGCATTCTAGAATTTCAGCAAAGTGATAGAAATTTTGCTTTTTTTGTGTTTTTAAAGCCAGTTAAACTTCAATTTTAAAGGGTAATGTAAAGCAAATGTATTAAATAAATGGCAATTTAAAATGTATTTTGTGTAAGTTCAAGTGTACATTTGGTGGTATTTAAGTAACTATATTTATCAACCGTCCTGGGATATGTGTTTTGTACGTATGGTGGTTATCAAGGTGGGGGGGGGTAATAAAGGATAAAAGAGACCAAGTGTAAAGTGACGAAAGATGATTTGACTTTGAGTGGTAGGCACACAATACAATATGCAGATCATGTATCATAGAAATGTACATTTGAAACCCTTATAATTCTGTAAACCAATGTTACCCCAATAAATTTAACAATCTTTATGTAAAAAAATACAAACAACAGCAACAACAAAATTATATAGTATCATATGTCTCAGTTATCTATTACTACATAACAAGCCACCCTCCACTTAAAGGCATACAACAGCAACCACCATTTTATCATACTCATCCTATGTAATAAAGAGGTAATATGCAAATTGACTCTCACACTCTCACAAGATGGCTGCCTACAACCAGGCCAGCAGGGGGGGTTTAGTGAGGGATGACCAAACGACTGAACAGCAGGCTGTGTGAGATGACCAGGCCGGCAGGGGGTTAGTGAGGGATGACCAAATGACTGAACAAGCAGGCTGCATGGGATGACTTGGCCTGCAGAAGAGGGCAGTAAGAGGTGACCAGGCTGGCAGGTGGAGCAATAGGGGTGACCAGGCTGGTGGGGGGGAGCAGTTAGGAGCAACCAGGTTGGCAGAGATGGGGCAGTTGGGGGCAAATTGGCTGGCAGTGAGGGGCAGTTAGGGGCAACCAGGCTGGCAGGGGGGCAGTGAGGGATAGTCAGGCCAGCAGTGGTGTGTGTGTGTGTGTGTGTGTGTGTGTGTGTGTGTGTTAGGGGTGACCAGGCAGGTAGGCAGGTGAGTGATTAGGAGCCAGCGGTCCAGGATAGTGAGAGAGATATCCGACTGCTGATTGTTAGAGGGATATCGGGCCTAAACCAGCAGTTGGACATCCCTCAAGGGGTCTTGAATTGATTGGAGAGAGTGCAGGCTGGGCTGAGGGGACCTCCCCCGGCCTCCCATCCACAAATTTCATGTCCTGGACCTCTAGTAGAATCTATAAGGATTGGACAGCACAAGACTCCATAATGTCTGTGCTCTTATCTTTGAAATCTTGATAGCTGGGTGTGACTCAGACAACTTAGAATCCCCTGAAAGTTTTCTCCCTTTATATGTCTGGCTCCTAGGCTGGGATGACTTGAAAGCTGAGTTCAGCTGGAATTCTCCGTTGGTACATTTGTATGTGGCTTTTCCATTTGGCGCAAGCTTCTCTCCCTCTGGTTGCTGGGCTTTAAGCGTGAGAGTCCAAAAGAACTAGGCAGGAGCCACACATTTTTATTTGCTTTATATCCCTGATACTTTTTG